ATAATTTTTCAAAATTTATTTCTCCGATTTATCAATTATTTGTCTTTGGGTACTTGTCTCAGATAGATGTAAATATTTCAAATATTTGTGAGAAAACCTTATCAATTTTAGTATTTGCTGTCATAGTATACACATTAGAGAATAACATATTAAAATTTTAACATTTTAAAATAAACAAAACTAATTTTAATAACTTTTCACAATAATAATTCAAAATAAATAATTTATTTCTGCGATTTATCAATTTTCTGTCTTTGAGTACTTGTCTCAGATAGATGTAAATATTTCAAATATTTGTGAGAAAACCTTATCAATTTTAGTATTTGCTGTTTTATTAGATGTATTGAGGAAAATAATACCTAAATACAATGTATTGTTACCTGTAGAACTCTTTAAAATCGACTTACATTTTTATATAATTTTCCTGGGCTCTGTTAAAGATATATATATATATATATATATATATATATATATATTACGTAATTCATAATTGTCGAAAAAACGCGGAAACGACATATTATCGTTTTCCTTGTAAGTTATAAAAATATATATTTCCTTTCTGCCTTTCTGTATGTTGTCAAAAACAAATGATTTATTACGATTGTCATTATATATATATATATATATATATATATATATATATATAAATATAATTGTATATAATTTAGTACAAGTTCTCCAAATACATCATTCATACTTATCGAATGGTCTGACAGTTATAAGAGATTTATAAAAATGTGTCACTCTCAACACTTTGGAACTGTATTCAAATTTTGGAGGCACTTTTAGTGTATATAGAGATGCTCTAGGGTCTTTTGTCAGAAAAGAAACTTGTAGATTATTCATTTTTATACAAATTGGTCTCAGACATCATTGATGTCAATTGAATGGTTTGGAAGTTATAACAGTGTTATGAAAATTTTCCATATTGGCTAGTGAAAAAGACATGGACTATAGTCCATGGTTTTTCATAAAATATTGACCTTTTTTGCTTACTTCAATCTCGTGAAAAAGTCAATGGACTATATCCAATATATATATAATATATATATATATATATATATTATATATATATATATATATATATTGTCTTTGGACTCATCAAAATTAATTGAGGTAACGGATTGTACAAAATAATATTTGTCTAGTTGTTGTTGGACCCAATAGTTTCGAATTGTACAGAAGTTATTAATCTGACTTGGAAATTTGATTTATTGTCCAATTCTATATATATATAACATATATATATATATATATATATAATTATTGTGTGTGTGTATTTATTCCATTTGACCTATTTATCTCGGCACCAGTATTCACTTTAGTAAATGAAGAGTAATGTTTCCCAAGTAATTTCATGAAAACATTTTTGCCCTAAAAAAATATAAGTACAGAATGCGATGAAGCAAAAACGCATTAATAATCGTCTAATGATATCTGAAGGGACTACCACCACCGCCACAGTTAAATAAGGGATCGTTATTTGGAAATAATGGGCTAAAAATTAATATTGCCATCGTTATCTTTGTTTAGATAACGCACAGCTTTCTCATATAAGAAAAAACGAATTTGGAAAACGTATTAAAAATAATATCAATGATAATAATAATAATAAAGAACAAGGAGTGTGTGTGTAGGAGTGTGTACGAGGGTGTAAAAATGTATAGACACGTGTATAAGTGTGTACAAGTTTGTACGAGTGTGTAAAAACGTATAGACGTGTGTAGGGGGAAGTCCCCTAGTGGCGGACACCTAAGGTTCTTTATAAATAAATCGAAAAATATTTTACGAAATGTTTATTAAAATATGATTTATGTTAGATAACAAAGTTAGAAATCAAACTAAATTAACAAAACCGCAATTTTTGCTGAAAATTAATTATTACTATCAATCAAAATTTGGTACCGAACACGTCAAAATAACCTGCATTGATCACATATCAACTGGAATGTTTGCGCATGTGTCTTTGACGAATATTCTTAGATATTGCAAAAAATCCACCCTTTTGGCTGGGCCACACCGATGCTCTCAGCTGGTGCATTTATAAGCTTTTCATTCTTTGACTAGGAAATACGAAAAATGGGGGTATGTAGTAACTGTTAGCTCTCATACAGAATAAAATTAAATATTTCGAATAAATTACGTAAATTCTCACAAGAAATATCAATATGTTTATTGTCCTGCAATAAGGGAAGACGTAGTGTCCGGTGCTAAGGGACAGACATTTTCGTTCACTTGGTGGCACCTACTAAAATTGGTTAAAAGATCTAATGATATTCTACTATTTTACGGATAACAATCAAGTAGAACTTTTATCTTTGCATATCACTCAAACGTAAATGCATAAATATGCTAGAATTACTTTCATTGATATTTAGGTGACGCCGTGATTTTTCGCCTAAAACGGGAAAGGGCTGCTCTCGCCGTGGCCGTATGCGTCACAGGTTAGGCTTGGCGAATGACCCTGTACCTATGTGTCCCCCATGCCCCTGTCACTTGTATTTTGAAATGGAAAGATTTATACTCGCTTAAATAATACGTGTTAAATAGAGTGTTCGGTGCTTGGTGCCGTTCGGCGTTACGAGACTTTCCCCTATGCGAGTACGAGTATGTACACACCGTGTACGTACATAAATGTGTGTAAATGTATGCATTAGCGTATGAGTGTGTACACGCAGTGTAGAGAAGTGTGTAAAATTGTTTACTAGTGTGTGTAAGTGTACTTCGGTGTGTATTATATGTCAGTATAATAAATTTAGCAAATACGTACATGAGTATGATTCAAGTGATTTAATACAACATTCGGGTTTTGCGATGATAATTCAAAGAGATTGTTATAACGTTTTTGGGCAAAAGTAAATTGGTCTGTGCGAAATACGAAGTTTCGCTTTGTTCTTCTGTGTGATTTACTCCTTTATGTCGCTAATAAACTGCAGACGAATATATTTTACATTTCACATATACACATAAAACCCACACACATAGGGGCTTAAAGGTACGCGGGTAAAAAGGTCTACAATCGATATTTCAAAATCAAGTGAAATGAACAATTTTTAACAACAATATTTGAAAATAGAGGGCAAAAGATGTATAACCAGCCATCACCTTTAGACATTGGACCTGTTTGTCTTCTGGCCGTCACAACTTACCCGCATATGGGGTAAAAAGATCCAGGTGACAAATTTTGTAAAACACTAAAAACGCAATTCTACAACGATGTAATAAGTTGGAAGTTTGCTGAACATAGTCAATGATGTTTGTTTGATATGTGTTATTTGTTGTGATATAACTGGTTAGGTTTTACCTGCTTGAAGCCAATTTGGACCTGTGCCCCTCCCTACCATATCCTTCATTTTTATACTATCCACTCTTTTCTATATATTATAATCCTTAAGGCGAATTTTTCGTGCTCGTCGTAACGTAAAAACGTAATTAAGATATAAATCAAGGGTATTTCTCATTTCGGGCGCCGAAAAATCTCTCAGGAAATTACTAAAATATGCAGATGGCCCCCTTTTGAAAAATAACACTTTAAACAATATCATGTTTATGCCTTCGTTGGAAATCTTCTCGTGAAATATTTGTCATTTTTA